GGGCATGCCCAGTGTTAAGGAGAGGAGGAGGGGAACGGAGATCTCCTTATTTTTTCGGGTAATACATGTAAAATACTGACGGTGGGATCACGAGTAGTGCACGGCAGGATTTGGGTCACTCAGCTGCCCCACAAACTTGTTTCTATCCTATCCCGTTGCTAGTGGGACCTCGCCCCTGTTCAAACTTGCTAAGCCTCTTGTCTGATTTTTGTTTCAATTTCAATTTCAATTTCAATTCTAATTTTCTCATTTTCTAATTTAGTAATTTCTAACGAAGGTTATCGTGGTAGTTATCTTCCTTCCTTGCCCTGGGGCCAAGTCCCACATGCACCGTTTTAAGTCGCAAAATCTGTGTCCCCCCGTTGTGTTGAGCTAAAAGGCAAAATAGGAGAATCAAATGCTGCTGAAAGCTTTTTTCGAAAATTTTTCCCCTATTTTCCGAAAAACAATGAATAACCAAATGCTACTGAAATCTTTGTCCCTATTTTCTAAAAAGTCAAATGGAAAATACAACAATCCGCAGTGAAAGGCTCCGCGTACTATGCAACATTGGAGACCGAGACTCAGTAGAGCATGAAATGAACGTAGACAGTATTCCTGGCTTGGTGCATTCACAGAAACGAGTTTGGGGCTGCTCAGCCAAACACAGCATGGACACTCTCTGTCAGAGTGTCCTCCCACAGAAGGTCATGATGGCACAAGCGCCGTCGAACCCATACCCCACTTGGAGTGTAGTTCAACGGAAGATGGCCAGGGTAGGGGGCGTTGTATTCGGGCGGAGGGATTTTGCAGCCCCTTTCTTGAACCAAAAAACAAAAACGAAAGTCTTTGTATTTTATACGCCTAAGAACAACCGCTGGATGTGCAGTTCTCAATGCATCTCAGATGTCGCGTGGAGTCACACACGCTGAGTTAGTTCAACGTTGAACTGACTCCACGCTGAGTTAGTTCAACGTTGAACTGGCTCAACGGTGTATGTGGGACTTGGGCCCTGCCCTGAGTTGTCTGCAGAATCACATCTTTTTTTTTCCTTCTTTCTCTTTTTTTTTTCTTTTCAAAAAGCACAGAAGCCCCCTTTCTATTCTGGCGCCCATCAGTCCGGTTGCTTATTACTGGCAAGCATGAGTACAAGAAAGGAGCATAAGAAGAAAAGTGGTGAAGGATCAGCCCGGCCCTTGCATTACAAGTCACCTGCTCACGGGGGGCTTCCTAGGGGCCTTCTTAGGGGCCTTCTGCACCCAGACATGCAGCAGAAGGGCCTTCCTAGGAGCCTTCTGCTACAAGCCGACACCCCCCCCAAACCATAGCCTTCCTAGGGGCCTTCTGCACCCAGACATGCAGCAGCAGAAGGGCCTTAGGGAGGACAAGGCGCGGGAGAGGCCCGGCCTCCTAGCGGCCTCTCAGGCCACAAATCTCAGGCTTGGTCATAACTGTTCAGACAAAGGAGTCCACGAAAACGAGCAAAAATCGTGTCTTGTATTCTTCTCCTCCCTACAACTACCCTTCAGCCCTTATAAGGAGCTTTTCAATGATCCCACCTCCCCTTCCTGGTCCTTCCCCCTGTAGACCTCCAACCTTCCCCTCACACAGTAGCCTATTTAGCTTGCCTAGACTTTCAATACTAGTCGTCCCCAGCTTGCAACACAAAGTTTGTCCTTTTAACAGCCTAAAGCTCACCCCCCCCCTCCCCCCCTCCTCTTCCTGCACTAGTGAAACCTAACTCCC